CAGTCTATTTAACTATTTAACATATATATATATATATATATATATATATATATATATATATATATATATATATATGAAACTTTATAATTGTTATGATTTTATGTTCTTGATGAATACTTAGGAAAGAGATAAATTGGAACAAGAAGAAATGTGTTTGTTGCATTATTTATCTACTTTATTTATCTCCTTTTGACTGCAAAGATTATATGTAATTCATAATTAACTTTTTCCTTTTGCTTGTTGGCTATTCAAAACGAGGCTTATGTTGAAACACCGCTTCCCGTACAATCACTGAATTTAAGCAATGTCGAGTTGTTCAGTACCTAAATGGGTGACCGCTTGGCAATAACAGGTTCTGTAAGCTTGGATGTTTGGTTGGTGTAATGGATAATAGCTCAGAATGGTTAATTAGAGAGCTGAGTTACAATTCTCGTTAGGTTCGTCATATACACGTACGCGAAAGTAACATTGGTAAAGTGAATCCACCTATTCTCCCACCAGCTATGAGTTAATTAGTCAGACTTGTATCACTAAACTATGATTTTCTCAAAAAATTCTTATAATCTAAAAATATATTATAACTTTAAATAATCCGCAATGGGTTGATAAGTGTTGAAACTTGACTAATGCATGGAATAATAATGCACACAAAATGTACTTAGAATAAAATGTATTGAAACAAGAAAGTGTACACAATATTTACATATAGTCTTTTGTATATTCCTGGTAAGACCGTTCCTGGAGAATGTGTTGACTGAGTCGCAGTCGGGCAGAGTCTCTGGTTGAATATCTTAATTCCCCCCTCTCTTCCCGGTACCAACCATATTTATATGGTCGGTACTCCACTATGCAAATTAGGTGGATCCTACCACAATAATAAGCCATAGACAATAGTCAATATTCAAAAAGGAAGGAATACAACTGTTGTTTTTTATTGTTTTTTGTAATTATAATGTTGCATATCAATACAATTTTAACATCGCAAGAATTAGCTATGTATTGAGTGCCATTAGGCAGGAGTTTTTAACTCTCCTTTAAATAATGTCTAGGATTATCTCTAATGCTTTTATCTTTGTTGATATAACATGTGATATATTACTAGTGTCTGTCTACTAAACGCTTATATACCAATCATGTATTGAAAACTTTCACTGTGAGAGAATTTTAAAACTAGAGAAGATAAAAGGGTGTATCCCCTGCACACTTATAGACATAGATTCCATTTAAAAGAATTTGCGGAGAAACAAATCAGGAAAATCGAAAGTTAGTTTCACATCAGTTATACTTTCTACAATATAACGTTAGAAGTTTTATCGTTTATTCTGTACAAAATTTGTTTAAAGATTGCAAATCTCCATATGCTCGTGTCCTTGTACAGAAACAAAATGTGTTATGTAAAAAAATAACTCTTGTAGATTTATTAATCTTTTTTTTATATATATCCCTATCGGGAAAAATGTGACAATTTAGTAAACTGAAACCAATGACTCCCAAAAATGCTCCGTCTAATTGCATGTAACGTAGATTTGTGAGGGCGCAAATGATTTATTAAGTTGATTTATTTACATGTGAAAAATTGTTATCTGACTGCCAGTTCAACTGTTTATCATTGTTGCCCGACCAATGTTGAGACCGATCTTGAAGGATGTTCGACCTCCCCATAATATGTTCAGTAATTTATCAACTCAAATATCAGTGTGACGCTGACTTCATAAGTAGACTGAGTTAAATGTTGAAAGCACGGATCAGTCAATACATATCAGTCAACATTCACAAGGGAAAGATGGACAATTTGCATAGGTGCCTGATTACAAATTGTTTGACAATTGTATAACATTTACTATAAAACCAGCAACGTGCCCAGTCTTACAACAAAGACAGTAGTGGTGAAGCCTAATTTTATATTTCATTTGAACTTGTTGGAATTTGTTTATATTAAGTCCTACCAGCCATCTCTCTCTAAACAGAAAGAGTGGTTGGTAGGCTTAAAGGTAATTAGTCTGTAAGTGTTATATTATTTTGTCCTCGATTTAGCTTTGATAAGAGAGGACTGATAAACAGGTTTAGCTATCGTTTGGTTAGTCGTATTTTATTTCGAAATTATTACTTTATTACAACTTTATGATAATAATATTTTTTTACCCTTGTTTCTGTTATTTATAATTCTAGTTTTAACAAAAACTTTTTATCGCTTTAATATAATTTTCAATTTAGCACCTGTTGACAAGTTCTTTTATGTAAAAGAATTCGAAATAACATCCTTTACTTTTCACACAATAACTAATCCGTATTTTTAATTTTCTAATGGTTTAATTCAGATCACTGTAAGAAACCTCAAATTTATCTAAAGTAAATATGTCCTCTTTTATAATTAAAACTAAGAATTTATATAACAAATTCACTTTTCTTGGAAAAATTATTAATATTTTTCTATGGGAAGCTCACTTATTGTTTCTAAATACTTTTCCTTACTAGGGTAGTTTACTAGACTCTTGCAATTCTGAAGGACATTGGTAACATTTCCGTCTATATTTATTCCCTCTAAGATATTCATTTATATGTTATCACAGTAAAAGAGAAATCTATCTGATTTTAACTTTTCATTTGAAAGCAATATATACAGTGACCCGTAAATATAATGCACTATGACCTTTAAGTTTCCGAGAAAAGTAATTTATATATCAGGTTGATATTAAACTGAAGTACATTAAATCTCCCAGATTCACTTTCACTAGACAATAAAGTGAACCGCTGAGATAAATGTCGTACTTTTATTTTTATTAGCATACGCACTTGCTCTTACGACAATTGCATATTTCAGTAATGTAAAGACAACTTGAATTCGTTGAAATAGAGAAAACAATGACATATATGAGATTACTATTCTTTTATTATCTATTAAAATACAATCAGTAATTAAATTTTAGGTGATCAGAAAGGTTTTGATTCTAACTCCAAAAATATAATTCCATTTTGAAACATCTGCCTGACTATCTACCTATCTATCTATATCTATCTATCTATCTGTATATATATATATATATATATATATATATATATATATATATATATATATTTCAGTCTGTTCATATCTATTTATCTATCTATACCTTTTCATATCTATCTATCTCTCCCTTTTCACATCTATCTATCTATCTATCTGTCTGTCTGTCTGTCTGTCTGTCTGACTCAATTGTCTTTATTCTTTTATCACTTTCTTTCTTTTTGAATTAGTCTCTATATGTCGATTTTCCTATTTCAGTACTACATCTATCTTTCTATTGATATTATGGGAAAATAAATTTGTCACTATATCTTCCTGTGTACCCTCTACTCAGTGCAAATATATCTTTCGATCATAATGCAGCTTCAATATATATTATTTATATCTACACACACACACATATGCGAAAGTGTGTTTATATTTAAATTTATTGATTTTATATCTATATATGTATATTGGATATTGTACATACATCATTGCAATTGTTGTTGTACTGACATAAGTGATGCTATATCAATAAAAATATAATGGAAAAGACTTCTTACATTTGTAATGTGACTCCAAAATAAGTTTAGTTAGACATAGATAGATAGATAGATAGATAGATAGATAGATAGATAGATAGATAGATAGATAGATAGATAGATAGATAGATAGATGGATAGATAGAATGTGTATAATTGTTGTTGTACTGACATAAGTGATGCTATATCAATAAAAATATAATGGAAAAGACTTCTTACATTTGTAATGTGACTCCAAAATAAGTTTAGTTAGACATAGATAGATAGATAGATAGATAGATAGATAGATAGATAGATAGATAGATAGATAGATAGAATGTGTATAATTGTTGTTGTACTGACATAAGTGATGCTATATCAATAAAAATATAATGGAAAAGACTTCTTACATTTGTAATGTGACTCCAAAATAAGTTTAGTTAGACATAGATAGATAGATAGATAGATAGATAGATAGATAGATAGATAGATAGATAGATAGAATGTGTATAATTGTTGTTATACTGACATAAGCGATGCTATATCAATAAAAATATAATGGAAAAGACTTCTTACATTTGTAATGTGACTCCAAAATAAGTTTAGTTAGACATAGATAGATAGATAGATAGATAGATAGATAGATAGATAGATAGATAGAATGTGTATAATTGTTGTTGTACTGACATAAGTGATGCTATATCAATAAAATATAATGGAAAAAGACTTCTTTACATTTGTAATGTGACTCCAAAATAAGTTTAGTTAGACATAGATAGATAGATAGATAGATAGATAGATAGATAGATAGATAGATAGATAGATAGATAGATAGAATGTTATATAATTGTTGTTGTACTGACATAAGTGATGCTATATCAATAAAAATATAATGGAAAAGACTTCTTACATTTGTAATGTGACTCCAAAATAAGTTTAGTTAGACATAGATAGATAGATAGATAGATAGATAGATAGATAGATAGATAGATAGATAGATAGATAGATAGATAGATAGATAGATAGAATGTGTATAATTGTTGTTATACTGACATAAGCGATGCTATATCAATAAAAAATATAATGGAAAAAGACTTCTTACATTTGTAATGTGACTCCAAAATAAGTTTAGTTAGACATAGATAGATAGATAGATAGATAGATAGATAGATAGATAGATAGATAGATAGATAGATAGAATAAGTGATGCTATAATTGTTGTTAATACTGATATAAGTGATGCTATATCAATAAAAATATAATGGAAAAGACTTGGGGCTTACATTTGTAATGTGACTCTAATCAAAAAAAATAAGTTTAGTTAGACAAAATAAGTTTATAGATAGATAGATAGATAGATAGATAGATAGATATAGATAGATAGATAGAGATGTGTATAATTGTTGTTGTACTGACATAAGTGATGCTATATCAATAAAAATATAATGGAAAAGACTTCTTACATTTGTAATGTGACTCCAAAATAAGTTTAGTTAGACATAGATAGATAGATAGATAGATAGATAGATAGATAGATAGATAGATAGATAGATAGATAGAATGTGTATAATTGTTGTTATACTGACATAAGCGATGCTATATCAATAAAAATATAATGGAAAAGACTTCTTACATTTGTAATGTGACTCCAAAATAAGTTTAGTTAGACATAGATAGATAGATAGATAGATAGATAGATAGATAGATAGATAGATAGATAGAATGTGTATAATTGTTGTTATACTGACATAAGCGATGCTATATCAATAAAAATATAATGGAAAAGACTTCTTACATTTGTAATGTGACTCCAAAATAAGTTTAGTTAGACATAGATAGATAGATAGATAGATAGATAGATAGATAGATAGATAGATAGATAGATAGATAGAATGTGTATAATTGTTGTTATACTGACATAAGCGATGCTATATCAATAAAAATATAATGGAAAAGACTTTTATTATTACATTTTAGTTAACATGTGATAGATAAAATAGATAGATTTAGTTAGACATAGATAGATAGATAGATAGATAGAGATAGATAGATAGATAGATAGATAGATAGATAGATAGATAGAATGTAGTAATAGATAGATAGAATGTTGTTATACTGACATAAGCGATGCTATATCAATAAAAATATAATGGAAAAGACTTCTTACATTTGTAATGTGACTCCAAAATAAGTTTAGTTAGACATAGATAGATAGATAGATAGATAGATAGATAGATAGATAGATAGATAGATAGATAGATAGATAGAATGTGTATAATTGTTGTTATACTGACATAAGCGATGCTATATCAATAAAAATATAATGGAAAAGACTTCTTACATTTGTAATGTGACTCCAAAATAAGTTTAGTTAGACATAGATAGATAGATAGATAGATAGATAGATAGATAGATAGATAGATAGATAGATAGATAGATAGATAGATAGATAGATAGATAGAATGTGTATAATTGTTGTTGTACTGACATAAGTGATGCTATATCAATAAAAATATAATGGAAAAGACTTCTTACATTTGTAATGTGACTCCAAAATAAGTTTAGTTAGACATAGATAGATAGATAGATAGATAGATAGATAGATAGATAGATAGATAGATAGATAGATAGATAGAATGTGTATAATTGTTGTTATACTGACATAAGCGATGCTATATCAATAAAAATATAATGGAAAAGACTTCTTACATTTTTAATGTGACTCCAAAATAAGTTTAGTTAGACATAGATAGATAGATAGATAGATAGATAGATAGATAGATAGATAGATAGATGAATAGATAGAATGTGTATAATTGTTGTTGTACTGACATAAGCGATGCTATATCAATAAAAAATATAATGGAAAAGACTTCTTACATTTGTAATGTGACTCCAAAATAAGTTTAGTTAGACATAGATAGATAGATAGATAGATAGATAGATAGATAGATAGATAGATAGATAGATAGATAGAATGTGTATAATTGTTGTTGTACTGACATAAGCGATGCTATATCAATAAAATATAATGGAAAAAAGACTTCTTACATTTGTAATGTGACTCAAAATAAGTTTAGTTAGACATAGATAGATAGATAGATAGATAGATAGATATAGATAGATAGATAGATAGATAGATAGATAGATAGAATGTGTATAATTGTTGTTGTACTGACATAAGTGATGCTATATCAATAAAAATATAATGAAAAAGATTTCTTATATTTGTAATGTGACTCCAAAATAAGTTTAGTTAGACATAGATAGATAGATAGATAGATAGATAGATAGATAGATAGATAGATAGATAGATAGATAGAATGTGTATAATTGTTGTTGTTATACTGACATAAGTGATGCTATATCAATAAAAAATATAATGAAAAGATTTCTTACATTTGTAATGTGACTCCAAAATAAGTTTAGTTAGACATAGATAGATAGATAGATAGATAGATAGATAGATAGATAGATAGATAGATAGATAGATAGATAGATAGATAGAATGTGTATAATTGTTGTTGTACTGACATAAGCGATGCTATATCAATAAAAATATAATGGAAAAGACTTCATTACATTTGTAATGTGACTCCAAAAATAAGTTTAGTTAGACATAGATAGATAGATAGATAGATAGATAGATAGATAGATAGATAGATAGATAGATAGATAGATAGATAGATAGAATGTGTATAATTGTTGTTGTACTGACATAAGTGATGCTATATCAATAAAAATATAATGGAAAAAGACTTCTTACATTTGTAATGTGACTCAAAATAAGTTTAGTTAGACATAGATAGATAGATAGATAGATAGATAGATAGATAGATAGATAGAATAGATAGATAGATAGAATGTGTTTGTAAAATTGTTGTTAGTACTGATATATAGATAGATGCTATATCAATAAAAAATATAATGGAAAAAGACTACTTACATTTGTAATGTGACTCCAAAATAAGTTTAGTTAGACATAGATAGATAGATAGATAGATAGATAGATAGAATGTATAATTGTTGTTGTACTGATAGATATATCATAAAAATATAATGATAGACTTCTTACATTTGTAATAAAAATAAGTTTAGTTAGACATAGATAGATAGATAGATATAATAGATGTTGATAGATAGAATGTGTATAATTGTTGTTGTACATAAGCGATGCTATATCAATAAAAATATAATGGAAAAAGACTTCACATTTGTAATGTGACTCAAAATAAGTTTAGTTAGACATAGATAGATAGATAGATAGATAGATAGATAGATAGATAGATAGATAGATAGATAGATATAAATTGTTGTTGTACTGACATAAGTGATGCTATATCAATAAAATATAATGGAAAAGACTTCTTACATTTGTAATGTGACTCCAAAATAAGTTTAGTTAGACATAGATAGATAGATAGATAGATAGATAGATAGATAGATAGATAGATAGATAGATAGATAGATACATAAGATGCTATATCAATAAAATATAATGATTTGTAAGAAAATAAGATTAGAATGATAGATAGATAGATAATAGATAGATAGATAGATAGATGAATAGATAGATAGATATAGATAGAATAATTGTTGTACTGACATAAGCTATATCAATAAAAATATAATGGAAAAAATTTCTTATATTTGTAATGTGTGACTCCAAAATAAGTTTAGTTAGACATAGATAGATAGATAGATAGATAGATAGATAGATAGATAGATAGATAGATAGATAGATAGATAGATAGATGATATAATTGTTGTTGTACTGACATAAGCGATGCTATATCAATAAAAATATAATGGAAAAGACTTCTTACATTTGTAATGTGACTCCAAAATAAGTTTAGTTAGACATAGATAGATAGATAGATAGATAGATAGATAGATAGATAGATAAATAGATAGATAGATAGATAGATAGAATGTGTATAATTGTTGTTGTACTGACATAAGTGATGCTATATCAATAAAAATATAATGAAAAAGATTTCTTATATTTGTAATGTGACTCCAAAATAAGTTTAGTTAGACATAGATAGATAGATAGATAGATGGATAGATAGATAGATAGATAGATAGATAGATAGATAGAATGTGTATAATTGTTGTTGTACTGACATAAGTGATGCTATATCAATAAAAATATAATGAAAAAGATTTCTTATATTTGTAATGTGACTCCAAAATAAGTTTAGGACATAGACATAGATAGATAGATAGATAGATAGATAGATAGATAGATAGATAGATAGATAGATAGATAGAAAAAGATTTCTTATAGATAGAATGATAGATAATTGATTGATTAGATAGATACTTGTTGTTGTGCATAAGTGATGCTATATCAATAAAAAAATAATGAAAAAGATTTCTTATATTTGTAATGTGACTCCAAAATAAGTTTAGTTAGACATAGATAGATAGATAGATAGATAGATAGATAGATAGATAGATAGAATGTGTATAATTGTTGTTGTACTGACATAAGTGATGCTATATCAATAGAAATATAATGAAAAAGATTTCTTTTATATTTGTAATGTGACTCAAAATAAGTTTAGTTAGACATAGATAGATAGATAGATAGATATAGATAGATAGATAGATAGATAGATAGATAGATAGATAGATAGTTGTTGTATAGATAGATAGATAGATCAATAGAAATATAATGAAAAAAGATTTCTTATATTTGTAATGTGACTCCAAAATAAGTTTAGTTAACATTAGATTAGACAGATAGATGATAGATGATAGATAGATAGAATAGTAGACATAATTGTTGACTGACATAAGTGATGCTATATCAATAAAATATAATGAAAAGATTTCTTATATTTGTAATGTGACTCAAAAATAAGTTTAGTTAGACATAGATAGATAGATAGATAGATAGATAGATAGATAGATAGATAGATAGATAGATAGAATGTGTATAATTGTTGTTGTACTGACATAAGTGATGCTATATCAATAAAAATATAATGAAAAAGATTTCTTATATTTGTAATGTGACTCCAAAATAAGTTTAGTTAGACATAGATAGATAGATAGATAGATAGATAGATAGATAGATAGATAGATAGAATGTGTATAATTGTTGTTGTACTGACATAAGTGATGCTATATCAATAGAAATATAATGAAAAGATTTCATATTTGTAATGTGATAAGTTTATAGATAGATAGATAGATAGATAGATAGATAGATAGATAGATAGATAGATAGATATAGAATGTATAATTGTTGTTGTACTGACATAAGATGCTATATCAATAAAAATATAATGGAAAAGACTTCTTATATCTCCAAAATAAAAAAGACATAGATAGATAGAAATAAGATAGATAGATAGATTTCTTATAATTGTTGTTATAATGACATGACTCAAAAAATATAATGAAAAGATTTCTTATATTTGTAATGACTCCAAAATAAGTTTAGTTAGACATAGATAGATAGATAGATAGATAGATAGATAGATAGATAGATAGATAGATAGAATGTGATAGATAGATAGATATAAAATATATAATTTGTTGTGACTCCAAAATAAGTTTAGACATATGATAGATAGATAGATAGATGATATAGATGAATAGAAATATCAATGAAATATATGAAAAAGATTTCTTATATTTGTAATGTGACTCCAAAATTAGTTAGTTTAAGATAGATAGATAGATAGATAGATATAGATAGATAGATAGAATAATAAATAATGAAAAGACTTCTTACATTTTGTAATAAAAATAAGTTTAGTTAGACATAGATAGATAGATAGATAGATAGATATAATTATATTTTGTTGTACTGACATAAGTGATGCTATATCAAAAAAAATATAATGAAAAGATTTCTTATATTTGTAATGTGACTCCAAATAAGTTTAGTTAGAGATAGATAGATAGATAGATAGATAGATAGATAGATAGATAGATAGATAGATAGATAGATAGAATGTGTATAATTGTTGTTGTACTGACATAAGTGATGCTATATCAATAAAAATATAATGAAAAGATTTCCAAAAATAGTTTAGTTATATTTAGTAATGATGATAGATAGACAGAAAATAAGTTGTTGTAGACATAAGTAGATATCAATAGAAATAGATAGATAGATAGATAGATAGATAGATAGATAGATAGATAGATAGATAGATAGAATGTGTATAATTGTTGTTGTACTGACATAAGTGATGCTATATCAATAGAAATATAATGAAAAAGATTTCTTATTTTGTAATGTGACTCAAAATAAGTTTAGCTAGACATAGATAGATAGATAGATAGATAGATAGATAGATAGATAGATAGATTTATAATTGTTGTTGTACTGACATAAGTGATGCTATATCAATAGAAATATAATGAAAAAGATTTCTTATATTTGTAATGTGACTCCAAAATAAGTTTAGTTAGACATAGATAGATAGATAGATAGATAGATAGATAGATAGATAGATAGATAGATAGATATGAATGTATAATTGTTGTTGTACTGACATAAATGAAAAGATTTATATTTAATGCTATATCAATAGAAATATAATGAAAAATGAATGATTTTTATATTTGTAATGTGACTCCAAAATAAATGTTTAGTTTGTAGACAAAATAAGATAGATAGATAGATAGATAGATAGATAGATAGATAGATAGATAGATAGATAGAATGTATAATTGTTGTTGTACTGACATAAGTGATGCTATATCAATAAAAATATAATGAAAAAGATTTTTATATTTGTAATGTGACTCCAAAATAAGTTTAGTTAGACATAGATAGATAGATAGATAGATAGATAGATAGATAGATAGATAGATAGATAGAATGTGTATAATTGTTGTTGTACTGACATAAGTGATGCTATATCAATAGAAATATAATGAAAAAGATTTCTTATATTTGTAATGTGACTCCAAAATAAGTTTAGTTAGACATAGATAGATAGATAGATAGATAGATAGATAGATAGATAGATAGAATGTGTATAATTGTTGTTGTACTGACATAAGTGATATATCAATTATAATGAAAAAGATTTCTTATATTTTAATGTGACTCCAAAATAAGTTTAGTTAGACATAGATAGATAGATAGATAGATAGATAGATAGATAGATAGATAGATAGATAGATAGAATGTGTATAATTGTTGTTGTACTGACATAAGATGCTATATCAATAGAAATATAATGAAAAGATTTCTTATATTTGTAATGTGACTCCAAAATAAGTTTAGTTAGACATAGATAGATAGATAGATAGATAGATAGATAGATAGATAGATAGATAGATAGATATATAGATAGATAGAAAAAATGTGTATAATTGTTGTTGTACTGACATAATAGAATATTGATAGATAGATGCTATATCAATAAAAATATAATGAGATTTCTTAGATAGATACATAGATAGATAGATAGATAGATGTGTATAATTGAATTGTATAATTGTTGTTGTACTGACATAAGTGATGCTATATCAATAAAATATAATGAAAAGATTTCTTATATTTGTAATGTGACTCCAAAAATAAGTTTAGTTAGACATAGATAGATAGATAGATAGATAGAAATATAATGAAAAGTTGTACTTTAAGTGATGCTATATCAATAAAAATATAATGAAAAGATTTCTTATATTTGTAATGTGACTCCAAAAATAAGTTTAGTTAGACATAGATAGATAGATAGATGATAGATAGATAGATAGATAGATAGATAGATAGATAGATAGAATGTATAATTGTTGTTGTACTGACTCAAAATAAGTTTATATATCAATGAAAAATATAATGAAAAATAGATTTCTTATATTTGAATGTGTAGTGATAGATAGATATAGATAGATAGATAGATAGATAATAGATAAATAGATAGATAGAATGTTATAATTGTTGTTGTACTGACATAAGTTTGCTATATCAATAGAAATATAATGAAAAATTTCTTATATTTGTAATGTGATCAAAAATAAGTTTAGTTAGACATAGATAGATAGATAGATAGATAGATAGATAGATATAGATAGATAGATAGATAGATAGAATGTGTATAATTGTTGTTGTACTGACAAAATAAGTGATGCTATATCAATAAAATATAATAATAAAAAGATAGATTTATATTTGTAATGTGACTCCAAAATAAGTTTAGTTAGACATAGATAGATAAATAGATAGATAGATAGATAGATAGATAGATAGATAGATAGATAGATAGAATGTGTATAATTGTTGTTGACATACTGATGCTATATCAATAAAAAATATAATGAAAAGATTTCTTATATTTGATGTGACTATTTATTAGACATAGATAGAAATAGATAGATAGATAGATAAAATAGATTAGATAGATAGAATAGATATTATAATTGTTGTTGTACTGACATAAGTATGCTATTTAAAAATATAATGTTTCTTAATTTGTAATGTGACTCAAAATAAGTTTAGTTAGACATAGATAGATAGATAGATAGATAGATAGATAGATAGATAGATAGATAGATAGATAGATAGATAGAATGTGTATAATTGTTGTTGTACTGACATAAGTGATGCTATATCAATAAAAAATATAATGAAAAAGATTTCTTATATTTGTAATGTGACTCCAAAATAAGTTTAGTTAGACATAGATAGATAAGTTTAGATAGATAGAATGTTATAATTGTTGTTGTACTGACTATATCAATAGAAATATAAATAAAAGATTTCTTATATTTATAGATAAAATAAGTTTAGTTAGACATAGATAGATAGATAGATAGATAGATAGATAGATAGATAGATAGATAGATAGAATGTGTATAATTGTTGTTGTACTGACATAAGTGATGCTATATCAATAAAAATATAATGAAAAAGATTTCTTATATTTGTAATGTGACTCCAAAATAAGTTTAGTTAGACATAGATAGATAGATAGATAGATAGATAGATAGATAGATAGATAGATGAATAGATAGATAGAATAAGTGTATAATTGTTGTTGTACTGACATAAGTGATGCTATATCAATGAAAATATAATGAAAAGATTTCTTATGTTTGTAATGTGACTCCAAAATAAGTTTAGTTAGACATAGATAGATAGATAGATAGATAGATAGATAGATAGATAGATAGATAGATAGATAGATATAGAATGTATAATTGTTGTTGTACTGACATAAGTGATGCTATATCAATAGAAATATAATGAAAAAGATTTCTTATATTTGTAATGTGACTCCAAATAGTTTAGTTAGACATAGATAGATAGATAGATAGATAGATAGATAGACATAGATGAATGTGTATAGATAGATAGATAGATAGAATGCTATATAAGTGATTAGAATTATATGTATAATTGTTGTTGTACTGACAAATATAATCAAAAAATATAATGAAAAAGATTTTATATTTGTACTGTGACTCCAAAATAATGTTTAGTTAGACAGATAGATAGATATATAGATAGATAGATAGATAGATAGATAGATAGATAGATAGATGATAGATGAATAATGTGTATAATTGTTGTTGTACTGACATAAGTGATGCTATATCAATCAAATATAATGAAAAAAGATTTCTTATAAATGAAAAATAAGTTTAGTTAGACATAGATAGATAGATTTGTAATGTGACTCAATAAATGTTGTTGTTACTGACATAAGTGATGCTATATCAATAGAATATAATGAAAAAGACTTCTTACATTTGTAATAAAATAAGATTAGACATAGATAGATAGATAGATATAGATAGATAGATGGATAGATAGATAGATAGATAGATATGAATGTGTATAATTGTTGTTGTACTGACATAAGATGATGCTATATCAATAAAAATATAATGAAAAGATTTCTTATATTTGTAATGTGACTCCAAAATAAGTTTAGTTAGACATAGATAGATAGATATAGATAGATAGATAGATAGATAGATAGATAGATAGATAGATAGATAGAATGTGTTATAATTGTTGTTGTACTGACATAAGTGATGCTATATCAATAAAAAAATATAATGAAAAAGATTTCTTATATTTGTAATGTGACTCAAAATAAGTTTAGTTAGACATAGATAGATAGATAGATAGATAGATAGATAGATAGATAGATAGATAGATAGATAGATAGATAGAATGTGTATAATTGTTGTTGTACTGACATAAGTGATGCTATATCAATAAAAATATAATGAAAAAGATTTCTTATATTTGTAATGTGACTCCAAAATAAGTTTAGTTAGACATAGATAGATAGATAGATAGATAGATAGATAGATAGATAGATAGATAGATAGATAGATAGATAGATAGATAGATAGAATGTGTATAATTGTTGTTGTACTGACATAAGTGATGCTATATCAATAAAAATATAATGAAAAGATTTCTTATATTTGTAATGTGACTCAAAATAAGTTTAGTTAGACATAGATAGATAGATAGATAGATAGATAGATAGATAGATAGATAGATAGATAGATAGATAGAATGTGTATAATTGTTGTTGTACTGACATAAGTGATGCTATATCAATAAAAATATAATGAAAAAGATTTCTTATATTTGTAATGTGACTCCAAAATAAGTTTAGTTAGACATAGATAGATAGATAGATAGATAGATAGATAGATAGATAGATAGAATGTGTATAATTGTTGTTGTACTGACATAAGTGATGCTATATCAATAAAAATATAATGAAAAAGATTTCTTATATTTGTAATGTGACTCCAAAATAAGTTTAGTTAGACATAGATAGATAGATAGATAGATAGATAGATAGATAGATAGATAGATAGATAGATATGATGAATATAATTGTTGTTGTACTGACATAAGTGATGCTATATCAATAAAAATATAATGAAAAAGATTTCTTATATTTGTAATGTGACTCCAAAATAAGTTTAGTTAGACATAGATAGATAGATAGATAGATAGATAGATAGATAGATAGATAGATAGATAGATAGAATGTGTATAATTGTTGTTGTACTGACATAAGTGATGCTATATCAATAAAAATATAATGAAAAAGATTTCTTATATTTGTAATGTGACTCCAAAATAAGTTTAGTTAGACATAGATAGATAGATAGATAGATAGATAGATAGATAGATAGATAGATAGATAGAATGTGTATAATTGTTGTTGTACTGACATAAGTGATGCAATAAAAATATAATGAAAAAAGATTTCTTATATTTGTA